TCTCAACAGAATTCGGAATTGTGGCGTCCAGAACGTGTAACTCTGGAAGAATCCGCAGTTGGTACCTTCATTTGGAAAATAAGGAGAAGAAAAGAGGATTGGTTAGATGTTACAAGTAAATTGTTCCCGTCCGCTTAAATCATTTAGATAATATAGATGCCTAAAACTACTTTGATCTCAAACCCAATTTTCAAAGGGCAAAACAGCTAAACAAGTTACCATCCCAGTATATGAACGTCCTCTACCCTATGGCCAGTTAAGTCCTAAGAGTCATTCTAGAGCAATAAAACCTTTTCTCTACTTTCCAAGGAAATTCGAAAGGTCTAATGTGAACTACTATTAAAGGAATAAATAAAGGTTAGGCGTAATCATTGTCGGTAAAACGGAGCTTTAGTACAGAGCTTTCGAAATTTATTTGTAAATTGTTGACTATTCGTTACGCGCGGTCCATCTTTCAGGCAAATATATTTGTACGAAAGAGAAGACTCTGCCTTTAATACCATTTTCTAATTTTGTTTTCAAAAACATCTGGAATAGGACATAAGGACACAGAATCCTTGGAGAACGTAGATTAACGTTGGCATAAACAACAGCCGAAAACAATTTACGGTACTTATTGTGCACATCGAAGTCTGAATCCTTTCTCATGGGACTATCAGTTTTTTCCCCTTTAGAGTTTCTGCCGAAGATGCAATAGCTAATTAAGATTCCTTTTTAGGAAAAACCTTTCGCAGTCACGGAGAACTGGCCCACCCTCGATTGAAATCGAGGAATTGGTATGCAATTGGTCCACATGTTATCGAAATAGGAGAATGGTAAAGAGGGTGGTAAAACAACCAAGGTGCACCACACTCAGCAGATAACTCTACCGAATGGTTTAAAGCAATTTACCTGCCATATCTTATAACCAAACAACTATCCACAGGTAAAGTAATCCGAAAGTTTTTCAAAAGGAACGTTATTCAGTCTACGAACTGGCAATAATAAAGTAAGATGGTGTGCTGGATAATTTTTTAGGACTCTGTTGTGAGAAATGAGTATCCCAAGGAATAATGAAGGGCACTGTGGCGTAGTCTTTTAGGTATTGTTGCCAAACCCCTAAGGAGATACGCCAAGAATCAATTTGAAAGCCCTCGTGTAAAGGTGGAAGAGCTAGCGCACTGCCGTCCTGGATAATCAGACAGAAAAGAGGATCATGAATTTAACTGCTATGCACGGGCTATGGGAAGAAGATATGGGGACGCCAATATGTCGGCATTTCCCCAAAGGGTGCAAAAAATGAAATCGCAATCAAGACCTTCCAAAGATCCAAACCAGTGCGTACTCAATCACCCCTCTATGACACATGATAAAACATTGCTTGAAGCACTATCCCTGGACCCTCAGTTCTATCTGCCTGGTCGAAAAGTTAAGTAGAGTCAGAAATACAGCCCAACATTTACGATCTAAAACCCACCTCCGCGGATTGCGTTCCGTACTTTAAAGAAATACAGCACCCCCTAGCAACAGCAGGAGCAACCGTTTTATGTTTGAGGAAGTCGATCTTCTGTGTACAAAAAAAGCTCCTGTGAGCTACGCGCCTGACATGGCTAACGATCGCTTAACTGCATGCCCTCCTCTGCGCCCTCTCTTTTCCCCTCTCCCTATTCCGATGAGAGTTCATCGTTTTCGGAAAACGACCTGTCCACCAGAAGACCAACTATATCTCACCTATTTTTAATCTTACCGCGGAAATGTACCGAAATGGTGAGACCTCTGCAAAGGTCTGTTTCTGCTAAACTCTAGTATTGCACGACATTTTATGCTCTCAGCAAAACGTTTTTGCTAAGCCGAAAACGACTCTTCTAGGACTGACTGCACAATTCCCAACTTTATGGACCTTCTAGATAGAATATAAATTAACGCAGACATAAGGATATAGTACTACTGCGAAACATCATTGTATAAAAAAGTATATCAGAGTATCCACTGTAAAATCCTTCCTCAAGTGAACGATAAATTCGACGACGCTTGACGGTGTCGAGTTTTCAGTTGTTAGAGCAACGAAACACGCTAATAGATTTAGTAGGACGATGCTTGCACGCCACATTTTTGACAAATTTTTTCATGTTAACATGTTTAATTTACTCCTGCGTTGGCAATTTTGATTGGCTGACCTGTAGTTCTGAACAACACCTATTGCAGGTATTGCAATTTTGCTAGTAAAGTGTTGGTTCAGCTGTGGACGAGAAACTCGAAAAATAAAAACAGGCCTCACGAAGGTCGTGTTTAGTTTATTCATGACAACATCCTGTCCTTATTCACATTATAACCAATGATATATCTTGTTTTCATCATCATGCAAGCATTCACTGTAAGCCCTATATTTTGTTTCTTCTTATTTTTGGTCGGAAAGCATAAGGTTCTTCAATAGTAATCTGCAATTTTATTGCGCAATTTGCCCTGCATAACTGCTGCTTTTAAAATAATTATCTGGCCGGATTATTAAGATTCACCTTCCGTCTGTTCCAAGATAAAGCATGGAGAATCAGGCCGCAATGACTCCATCGAGATAGAGCCCCTATGGCACTCCCATTCAGTTAAGATCGAAGCTGCCGCACTTCTTTTTTTCGGTATTAAGCTGGTTCAATTGCAACTTTCAATTTGGCAAACGTATGTTTTCAGCAGCTCTTCATCAGGCCAGCATATTTGCAGGGATAATGAAAACTGTACAGTTGGACAGGGGTAATAAGTGTACTTTGATTACAACTCATCGTTTTCTCGCCGCCAAAATGGCAAGATCAGTGTTTAGAGGTCCTTATGCAGAGGAAGGGGGAGGAAATAGGATTAGGCTCTGGACCTTGACAGGAGTTAGGTACATAGAGTGATAAGTACTGTCATTTGCACGGAGCGAACGACTGTCACTAGGGCGTGGGGGCGATGTGCGATCGCCACCTGGCGTCGGGTTCGGCCACAGAGGTGAAAGTGCTTGTGCTAACGTCTTCTGACAACGCAGCACTGGATTCGCTAGCCACTGCTTCAGCTGTT